GATCCACCGTGGCCCAACTTGGTGTAGTCGGATTTGATCTGCAGATGCTTGTTCCCTGAGAGATTGAGATACTTGAGGTTTTTGTTGAAGTTCCTGACGAGCGAAAAATAACCTAATTAGTAAGGTTTCAACAGGAGCGAGGCAACCGAAACTACTCACCAATTCCAATCAAATTCCCAATTATAAATATTATACTTCAACAAATTACTCCCCACATCCAATATCATCAGACTTGTCACTTTCCCCAGCTCTTGCGGAAGCGTCTGGAGTCGATTCCCATTTAAAAACAACGTCGTCATCCGAGTCATCCGTGCAAGCTCTTCTGTCGGTAAAGTAGTTATCCGGTTTCCACTAAGGTACAACTCCTCGAGACAGGACTTTTGTGTTGGTTGCGACTTTTGTGTTTGCGAATGAAGCGTAGGTGTAGATGCAGACCAAGAAGGTGGAGGTGTGGGGAGCGGAGGCACTTCGCTGAGAAAGTTTTTGAAAAACGTGGGCGGGAGGTCCTGAATGAGGTTGAACGACAGATTTAAAACCTTTAACTCCGGGAATAACGACAAGAATCCAAGGGCGTCCGCGGTAAGCTGGTTTTCGCCGAGGTACAGCTTTTCCAGTGCGTATGCGAGGGAGGGAAGGCGGGAACCTGAACTGGTATTTGACACCGAAACAACCGAGGTTTTCCGCTTGTCAAGCGTATTTAAAGAATCCGCGTCTGGGTCTCCTTCTGTAGTAGAACCAGGTGAATGTGATTGCAGCTGAGTCGTCGGTGGAGGTGCACAAGGCGCTTCCCACTTTTCAATCATGTTACTGGTAGCATTGAGCTTGATCAAGCTTGCACAAGCCCATAGCTCTCCAGGAAGCTCTGTCAGATTATTCTCATGCACATCGAGTATCTCGAGTTTCCTCAGTCTCCCAATCCCTTCCGGGAGTCTTTCCAGGATATTGTCAGCACATTTCAGCGTTTCCAGGTATTCTAGATCACCCAGAGTCGGAGGGAGTGTTTTGATAGTGTTGTGCGAAAGGTTAAGGACGCGGAGGGAAGGGAGAGAGGACAGCGCTCGGGAAGAGATGGAGGATAGTTTCGCATGAGAAACATCTAGCGAGAAGAGAGCAGTGTAGGGACCTGGATTGTCGATGGATCCAGTGACACGGAGTTCCGTAATTTCATTATACCCAGCCTCAATCGCCTTCAAACAAGGTCCCAAACACAGATCCACTCCCGACAACCGGTTATGATCTGTACTCAACATCTCGAGCTTTGGCAGCATCCCGATAACAGACATATCCGAAATAGCATTCCGCCTACAATCGAGCCGACGGAGCGAAACAAGAGACTCGGCTTTCGGAGGGATAGAAGTAATTTGGTTCCCCACCATAATCAGGTGTTCCAAATTCCGCAAATCGCCGATTTCCTCTGGGAGCTCGAGGATGTTGTTGAAGGAGATATCGAGGTCACGGAGGGACTCGAGGCGACATACGACAACGGGAAGAACTTTGAACTTGTTGTTGCTAATGTTCAGATCTGTGAGCTTGCGTAGTCGAGGTAGATGCCACGGCAGTTTCTCCATCCGGTTGTTCTGCACTTTCAACACTTTCAATCCTGGGATATGATCGATATACGCATCGTCGAGGTCTCCGATCCTATTTGAACTCAGGTCCAACCGAGTAAGGGAAGTTGCAAAGCGGATATTAGGAGGGACTTTTTTCAAAGCCATATGGGATAAGCGGAGTTCGGTGAAAGATGTGGAGGTGGATTGGATGAAATCGAGAGGGAGATCGAGCATGGGGTTGCGTGAGAGGGAGAGGGAGATGATTTCGGCGGCGTGCTGGTGTAAATCCACGGGAATAGTGCGGAGAGAACGACCGGAGAGGTCGACTTGTTCATAATTTTCGATGTTAAGGGATTGCTCCTAAATAAAAGTGTGAATCTTCTACCTCTTGTACACAGAAATAACCGTACCGCAGGCCCAAACACCTGGCTCTTATACACGAACTTCAATAAAAACGCCAGCCCTTCACCACGTAAGAGCTCTATTCCATCTGTCGCGTCATACCCTGCTTGTTCAAGCCGACGACGAACAATATCCGCCGGTCGCTCCGTTTGACCAAGGATTCGCTCTATCGGTCAATGGGTCAGCTACAGCACTCTCAAAAACAAAAACAAAAACCCACCTCTTCCCCGTTCTTTCAAATACAGCTTGTGCGTCTCCCTCTCTTCCCCAAGCAATAGTTTCGCATTCAACGCCGGCTGCAACATCGCAACCGTAACATTGAACCCACACGAAACTACATGATACGTGTTATTCGCTCGATAGATTCTTATCTTGAACGTTTCCCTGGAAGATTGTTGGCCTTGATGAGAGGGTCTTCGAACTCCCAGTGACGACGAGTGTGAGGCGAGGGTCCCAAGGCTATCGATATCATCGCGAATCGAAGGATCGGCGGACGAGAACACGGGGTTGGGATTACTGTTCTTTCTCTTCTCTATGAACTTTCTCTTTCCCTTCTTTTCAGTACCATTCGATGTGGAGGCGATGGATCCCGAAATGGAGGGCGTGTAACGCGAGGCCGAGAATACCGTCGTCGAAGTGTTCGTGGTTGAGAAGGATCTAACCGAGTCAGTGGGAGGAATCCGCCGACCAAGTTCGTCCACCCCTGTTCTGGCCCTCGACAATCCCATATCGTAATCGTCGTCGTCGTCGTCATCGTAGTCGTTTTTTTGGTGGTTGTGCGAATACTAACGGTCTGCCCCCGCCTACTGTCCCTCTGCCTCCCAGTCCAAGGCTCCCTATACTTCCCGAGCCAGGTGTGCGATCTCCGTTAGACCTTATTGGTGAAGTACCATGCGCCATCATATCATCTTCGGAACTCGAATAATCCGACTCGACCTCGGGTGCGCCCAAATCAATGACCCAGGATTCAGGAGGTACCCAAGGATGCGCATGGTCGGAATTGGGATCTGAGTTGAAGGCGCTGTTGTTGTTGTTGGGTTGCGGGGCAACGCTGAGGCTACCACCATGTAACCCGTTGTTGCTTGTAGGGGGAAGCACGTTTCTTTGTACAAACTTTTTGTGTTCGTTGGCTTCAGCAATGACAGTGCGAGGAGAGATGGTTTTTTCAAGGTTCGCGAGAGATGAAACACGGGGTGGGGAGGATGTAGTTGCTGGTGGGAGGCTACGCGTGTCTGAAGAGAACGGTATACCGTTGCCGTTCGATGCAGGTAACGAAAAGGGATTGTGGAAGTCAGAGGGTTTGATGAGGCCGAGGTGTGGATTGTTGTTCGTCATGGAAGATCTATGAGAGTGAAGAGAATGTTTATCGTCTGAGATGCTTCGTATCGACGGAGCTGTGGTGTGAATGACATTAACAGAGGGCGCGGATATGAGAACACTACTGTCCACAATCCCGTCCATCTTCTCCAAATCTGTATCCAGCGTCATTATGACTTCGTCTGGTGCGGAAGAACCCATTGAACCAGACAAAAAGTCTCCGTCCTTTTCCCTCTTGCGAAGTGAATTCTTGGGCGTGGGTAGTTCTGGTACCGGAGGGTTTAGACTGGGATGATCTTCGGGTTTCTGCTTCAGTCCTTTTGAGCTCTTCCGCTTAATTAATGATCTAAGCCTTTGTCTCGGGCCAGACGACGACGATGTTGGAGGCGAAGAAGTCCCATTTATGGAAACTTTACTGCTGCTACTGGTGTTGGGGTAGAACAAAGATGATGCGACTTTGCGTATGCTTGTGCCTTGAGTATATTGCGACGAACTAGAAGGAAGGAACAAGGTAGATTGAGACTCGGAAGCGTGCTTCACGAAGCCTCTCGACGAGTTGCTGGAAGAGAACGTGCCGCTCGTTTTCGTTGGTGACGAATTTTTCTGAAAGAGATAATTAATTGCATAGTATCAAGTAAAGAACAAAGACTCACTTCCTCCATCCAGGGCGTAATTTGTTCCAAATCTCTATCCAAGCTCGAATCTTTGGACACTCTCCCTTGGGTAATATCCACATTGATTTCTGGAATATCGATAATCTTTCCAGTGTTGTCCACCTTGACCACATTGTTCAAGTGAAGCGAATTACGCATAGTGGTAGAGAATGAAGTGTGGAATTGCACGACAGCACACAGCCGTTGTGATTGTTGGGGCTGGCAGCCACAGGCCGCGATGAGTATATGAGAGGAAAAGGCCTGGGAACCAGCGTTGCTTCAAGGATTGCACTGGTATATTCTTTGAAGAAATCAGTAGAGTTGATTAGCAGGGAAACGAAGAGAAGAACAAACTTGTGATGTTTGTTAATAACAGACGTCGGCAGAATCTTCGGACAAGGAAAATTAATTCCGCAAGTCAAGACGTCGTACGTTGAAAGGGAAACTTACCACATCTGCCTTGTAGCTAAAGACAGTAAAGTGTCAAACAACGGAGACAGCGCAGGATTCTCTGGCCGGACCGGATTAGCCGGGTACCTCGTTCGAGGCAACTTGTGTGTTCTCATCATTGACAGTAACTAGATAACTACACTAACACTCCCGCTCGCGAACGAAAACATTCTGGCCCATCCAGCCACTCCCGCTACACATCGTCAAAGATGAGCCGGACAAAACCGTTGGGCTCAAGATCCACCACCCAAATTAGACTAGCACAGCACGCCACCCGAAAACCAGAGTGAAAGCGTGGTAGATTACAGACTTGAAGACTTGGAGATACCACGCTATCTTGGCCACAAGTTGCAAAATCTCCATAACAGTCAATCAGTATCAAATCAGTATACACATGTCCAAAAACTAAAACCCATTCAGCAACTACAAATATTTATAGCTTCAAAAATCCCCGTATGATTAGCATCCTATTCCTCTCACCGTACTTTCCGGGGCCGCAGACACCACAAATGAGTCAACAACGGCTGTAGTATGCCGAATCTGTTGGATTGACAAAGTACAAGAGGTACGTTGTCACTGCAAGTTTTACCACTGACGATATGACCACCCAAAGCGTCAGATTAACCAAGCCCCCGTTGTCTAATGGTTATGATATCAGACTTCTATCTACCATGAGGAATGCATCGAGAATCTGAAGGTTGCGGGTTCGAGTCCCGCCGGGGGTTTCAGTCGTTATCAGCTTTTTGCTTACAGTTGTTCCGCTATTTGAGTAAGCAGTCTTGCGCCCTCATTGTTTTCCATTGCGCCATATGTCTGCACCTTGGTTTGTGTTAGTGACAACTTCTGATAAGTCACAGAAGAAGGCGTCGCATAAGCGCCAACATCAGTGCAAAGCGCTGAATTTATTTAACTCGTTGCAAACCACAAATGTCGGCCACATCTGGTATTGGCGTCTCTCAAGAACTAATATCTCAATTCTCGTCTGCCGTAGAATCCAAATCTGTCCGATTTCTCAAAGTCTCGATACAAGATGGTCAGTAATCTATAACTGGAACGCGCTTGTACTTTCAACCTTTCTGACCTTAGTTCACGACCATAGAATCACTTGTACCCGACCAAAGCGTCCCAATTGAAGGTTCTTTACAAGAAGATCTCTCTATGCTTCAAGATCTCCTGCTGGATAATGTGCCAGCCTACATTCTGGCGAAATTAGACGAGCCTTCCCCGGAATGGTTGGCGATTTATTACGTGCCAGACTCTGCGAAAGTCAGGGATAAGGCTCGTATATAACATTCCTCGATCCCCCAGAGCCTTTTCTAATGCTTCTTCCTTAGATGCTTTACGCCTCCACTCGAGCCTCCCTTCTCAAATCACTTGGATCAACCGTGTTCACCGACTCCCTTTTCGCCACATCCAAATCGGATCTGACTCATGAAGCGTACCTCTCTCATCTGAAACATATGGCTGCGCCAAAACCTCTCTCCGCTCGCGAACAAGAGATGGCTGATATTCGCGCAGCCGAACGCAGCACTCCTACATACGAAGGAAGTCGGGCAAGGACATCCATTGTTGGGACTGGTGTGGGTCTCGATTGGACCCCCGAGGTGGAGAGTGCAGTTGAAGACCTTGGCAAAGGAGAGGAAGACGCAATAGTCGTCATCGTACGTGTCAAATATTCTCAATCGGATGCATCTTGATCAGTCTATTGCAGACCGTCGACTCGGAGACACTCACGCTATCCTCCACCTCATCAGCAACAATAGAATCGCTCAAATCAAGCCTGCCTTCCTCCGAACCCTGCTACGCGTTCTTTGCTTGGTCACACAATCACACTGATCCTCCTAGACGCGAAATAAGTGCGTAGTCAACTTATCATCATGTTCTACTCATGTTCTAACTTTGTACTTGCCTATAGTATTCATCTACTCATGCCTTCCACCTCTCCTGTGAAACACCGGATGGTCTACTCATCCGGATGCTCTGGAGTTTTTCAGGCTGCCAAAACACTTCTTTCTTCTTCTTCTTCACATCTGAATGCACGGAAAATCGAAACATCTGATCCTGCAGAGTTGGATGAGGCGTATCTGAAAAGCGAGTTGGCCCTTGATACGATGGAAAGCACAGCTACGAGTGCTGGTGATGCTGCTCGATCTTTTGCGAGACCAAGAGGACCTGCGAGAAAGAGACCCTAGCTTTGAAATGTGTATAATGTTAGCCTCGAATCAGCACCTGCTGCCTAGTCGTGAGTTGATATCACTTCAGCAACATCTTTGATCGAGCTTCATCAAAGTACAGATGCTCGAGTCTAGTATAATGTTTGCACTCGATGATATCCAAGCAATGAGCATATGGACCAACTGCGCTTATTTGATTCCGTGGACCAAAAAGGAAACCACAGCAGAACTTTGCATCTGTTCCATGACCGAAAATAGAAGGCCCTGTTTTATGATAATATATTATATGCAGAGCAGTAACTCGACGGCCAGATCTTCAAGCCTGGTACCATGTCTCTCGTATTCGACACAACCTATACTAGCTCTTACACTCACAACCTGATCACTGGAAATGCGACAAACAAGATCAAAAAGCTCGCTGATATCGTGGTCCATACACCCTCTCATTCCCCAGAGTGGCGACCAAAGTTGTTTGCTGCTTCAATAATGGACAGAATGGTATTGTCAGAAGTGAATATTGGACCTATAACAGAGGAGCCGTCGCGTCAAGAAGCTAAGGTTGTTTTCAGGCTTGTGGTAAACGAAGGTCTGTAACAACGGTACCATCTCATCATCGACTCAGAATCGTTGTGTAGAAATGCTCAATCTTGCCAATACCGTTCATGGAGGAGCTCTTGCTTACTTTGTGGACTTGTAATTTACGTGCTTGAATTTGACTGCATAACTCTGAGACGTTTCTCTGCATAGCTGCTCTACCATTGCTTTAGGGGTGCTGGATCCATTTCATGGGGTGACTGTTACACAAGCCATGAATATCGTTTTTCATTCTCCTGCTTCTCTGTAAGTAGTATTCTGTCCTACACAAACCCTTGCTCTGACTTTCGTCTCCAGCGACGATACTATTCGGATCGTGAGCAGAAGCGTTACCACAGGTGGAAGGTCTATGTCTGGAAAGACAGAGGTGAGTTGCTAACGATGTCCATACTCTATCTCAACCCTGTTGTACTAGATCTGGAACGAAACTCACCGTCGTTTGGTCGTTTCTGGTGTCCAGATCAATATGCGAGCATCTCCGCCGAAGAGCAAGTTGTGATACCCACAGTGCTCGTCGATTCCAGTGCAGGTCGTTTTACGTTTGTTATAGGGCAGTAGTAGGAGAGATGTATCATAAGTGAACAGAGTTTGTACACCTTCGACTGATCGTAAATGTGCTGATACTTTTCCGATTACCGTAAGCAGCTTTCATTGACAATTTGACATATTAGCACCAGACTAGTGATTCCTATGTAGACATGTAGAGCCTGACAAGTTACCTGGTCCAAAGAGAGATCCGGCGAGGGGATACTCTTCAGTAATCAAACTTGATTTTGATAGTCCAAACTTTAGAATATGGCCAGTCCGCTTTGGCCTAAAGCATCAGTGATTCGGCCGTCATGTCAGCACCCGCTCATGACTTGGTATATAGAAAGGCAGGGTGTGGATCACACTCACATCTTTCTTTTGTATCGTATCTATCTATCATCTCTGCAACCAGTGCATTCCCCAACTTGAAGTTCCCAATCTTCCGACGCCGCATTCGCTCTTGGTTGTGCCATGTGGACCATGAACAAGAACGGCGACCAGAAGGAGATGGACGAGCTATGGAAAGGTGCAACTTTTCTGGGATTCTGGTTACGTATGTAGCCAGTGCATTGAATGCCTTTATCGCTGTAAAGTAAAGCGCAGCTGGTGATGTTGCTCGATCATTTGCGAAACCAAGAGGACCTGCGAGAAAAAGACCTTAACTTCGGGATTTGTATGATGTTTACGTTCGAGGATAAATATACTGGCCATTGTAAACGCGGCCATTTATTTTCGGTCGTGGAAGAGATGGAAAAATCTTCTGTGGTTTCCTTTTTTGGACCGCGGAATTAACGCGATGCGGCGACTCTGTCTGCATTACTTGGTTACTGTAGCCTTGTTGTTCCTAGGCCTGACCCTCGGTGCTCAGCTTCCAATCTTCTGAGACCACTCTAACGTCTGAAATAGTTTGGACTTTTTACTAGGATATTATGATATGTTAGATGAGAGTGTAATTTCCTTGGGTCCAGTCAAAAGGCCCCGAGCGAATCAGGTTTCAAAGATGCAAGGTTAAGGGCAGTTAGTTCATAGATAGATAGTTATAAGTATGCACACCAGTAACTCGGCGGCCATATAACCAAGCCTGATACCATGTCTCTCGAGCCAGAAACAACCTATACTAGCTTTTACACTCACAACTTGGTCGATGGAAATGCGACGCCCGATTTCAAAGAGGCCATAGATCACCTAGTCCATACACCCTCTCATATCCCAGAGTGGAGACCGAAATTGTTTGGTGCTTCAATAATGGACAGAATGGTGTTGTCAGAAGTAAATCTTGGGCCTATGGCGGATGAGCCATCGCGTCAGGAAGCCAAAGTTGTTCTCAAGCTTGTGGTGAATGAAGGTCCGTAACGACAATACCGTCTCATCGTTGACTCAGAATTACTCGTCTGAATTCCTCTGTAGAAATGCTCAATCTTGCCAATACCGTTCATGGAGGAGCTCTTGCTTACTTTGTGGATTTGTATAACGCGCCCTTCAGTCCGACTGTCTATCTATCGTTGATAATTTCTCTGCATAGCTGCTCTTCCCTGGCTTTACTCGCGCTGGATGCAACTCAAAAGATGACTGTTTCACAAGCCATAAATATTGTTTTTCACTCTCCGGCTTCTCTGTAAGTATCCTGTTATGCACAAACTCTTGTTTTAACTTTCGCCTGCAGTGGTGACACTATTCGAATTGTGAGCAGAAGTGTTACCGCAGGTGGAAGGTCTGCGTCTGGAAAGACAGAGGTGAGCTGCTGTCGATGTCCATACTATATCTCAACCCTGATGTAATAGATCTGGAACGAAACCCACCGTCGTTTGGTTGTTTCTGGTGTCCACATCAAGATGCGAGCATCTCCGCCGAGGAGCAAGTTGTGATACTCATCTCGTTGATCCCGGTGCAGATCATTTTGTGTGTGTTTTTGGGCAGTAGTAGGAGCCTAGATGTATCATAGTGAACAGAGTTTGTACACCTTCGACTGATCGTAAATGGGCTTATTCTTTGCCGATTAACCGTAAGAAATTTTCACTGGCATACTACCAGACTGGGAATCCGCTGGCGTTTCCTGTTGAACAGAAGTCACATAAGTACCTTTTTCAATTTTCAGGGGTTGACTACTCAGGTCGCAATTCCGAGCAGGGGCTTCTATCTCAGATCTCCTGTCCCCCATGGCAGAGCTGGTATATTTTCCCCTTTCTAAGTGGCTGGTTACAGAGAAGGCAAAGTTGCACTTATCTTAGGAATAGGAGCGATAAGGTTTAATTTCGGGTACGAAGAGAGCTCCAATAAGTAGTAAACAGGTAGACATGTCTTACCTGGTACAAAAACCCGATACTTACCTGGTAAGGTAATTCAACTTGATTTTGATATATCCGATAGGATGAGATAAGCAGGCGTGAGAATCGGCATTTCATCCGACTAGTCCGACTCTAACGAGTTAT